CCTCCATCTTTCTTTAAAACTGCATAATATTCCATGGTATACATAAACCACAATTCATTGATCCATTCATGGGTCAATGGGCACTTGAGTTTCTTCCATAACTTTGCAATTATAAATTGGGCAGCAATAAACATTCTGGTACAAATATCTTTGTTATAATGTGATTGTTGGTCATTTGGATATATGCCTAGTAGAGGATTTATAGGATCAAATGGCAAGGAGTTCTGGCAGTTGCCTATAGTCCCAGCTACTCAGGAGGCTGAGGAAAGAGTTTGAGGCTACTGTGAGCTAGCCTAATGCCGGGGCATTCTTACCCAGGGTGAAAGAGTGAGACTGTTTCAAAAAAAAAAAAAAAAATGAAATTGGGGCCGTGGTGCTGCTCAGACCTGTAATCCCAGCACTCTGGGAGGAGGAGACAGGTGTATCCCTTGAGCTCAAGAGTTCAAGAACAGCCTTAGCAAGAGTAAGAGACACACACACACATACACACACACACGGGGGTGGGGCGACGCCTGTGGCTCAAAGGAGTAGGGCACCGGCCCCGTATGCCCGAGGTGGCAGGTTCAAACCCAACCCCGGCCATACATATATATTTTTTCATCAAACCGGTTAACATAGCCCTTAGGGCATTTTCTTCGTTGTTGTGTTAAGACATTTATATTCTATATTTAGTAAATTTAACATGTACCATTGTAATATGCGCCATAGGAGTGGTCCCACTGATTACCCTCCCTTCACCCATCCTCTCCCCTCCCCTACCCTACCCTCCTGCTCCCCTTTCCCCTTCTTCTTGGCCTATAATTGGATTATAGCTTGAAAGCTATAAATTGGTATCATAGTAGGGCTGAGTACATTGGATATTTTTTCTTCCATTCTTGAAACACTCTGCTAAGAAGAATATGTTCCATCTCCATTCATGTAAACAAGAAAGAGGTAAGGTCTCCATCTTTTTTTTTTTTTCTGTAGAGACAGAGTCTCACTTTTTCACCCTCGGTAGAGTGCAGTGGAGTCACAGCTCACAGCAACCTCCAAG